CCCAGCTCCTATATAAATTATTTTAAACAAAAATTCCGTAGTATTTAGGATGAAGGCAAAGTCTCTCATATTCTAGGTAAATTCTCTATTACTAAGCTACATCCCAAGTCCTACAATCAACCTTTGTATAAAGTAAATGATCACATAGTATAGTTTGCTTGCTTGTACAAAAAGGTGAAAAACCAAGGTACAGAGAGAGCCACTGGGTGAAATTTTGTCAAAAGATAGGCTGAACCTCATTTATTTACTTGTGTGTTTAGTCAGAGTCTCGTGCAGTGCAGACTGGCCTGGAAATTGTTCTGTAGCCAAGGATGCCCTTGAACTTCTGATCTTCTTGAACTTTACTTCTCAAGTTCTGGGATTACAGACATGTCCCAGCAGTACAAGTTTATGGGGTGCTAAATATTGAACCCAGGATTTCATTCTACCGACTGAGATATATCCCTAGTCCTGTCCAAACAAACTTTTAACAGTTCTGAACTGGTTGCTCACTTTGAAAACCAGAAGATTTCAAATAGAGCTCTTTTCTTTTCCTGGGAAAATGCCCAGTTCTTCGAATAGCTCCTGGAAGTGCTGAGGGGAAGAATTCTCAGACAATACAGAGGGACAAGGTTGGCAGTTATTTGCTTTCAAGGTCTACAGACAGGACGTGCTGCTACTTCTGTTTGGAGTTCCCCAGGCAGACTTTTTAGAAGACTGGTATTGCACCTTGAACCCTGAAGGATGACTCTGAAAGAACTGTCCATGGGATGGAGAAGAACGGCGGTGTATTCATAGGATGAACCCAGTAAGGGTACAATGAATTCATGACATGAGAAAGAAGGGCATGTTCTTGTTGGCTCACATAAACAACTTAGCACAACTAGGGAAAAACTCTACTTTCTTCTCCCCATCTTTGAATTTGATGGTATGGGGAGCTGACCAATTGGTCAAAAGGACCTGACTGGACTTATTATCTTTGCTTGAAGGACAGCATAATGTGTTCTTTATTTCCTATGCACGAGATGAGAAACCCCTCACCTGGGAAAACCAGGTATGCTATAAGTGCATTCTGTCTAAGCCAGCCCTGGTTTATATGTCTTCCCTCCCCATAGAACTAAGCAGTATCTGGTACATTATATAAGCTTCAGGCTTGGTTATTAATCTGAGGCAAGATTTGTTCTACAAGAACTGGAGAAATTCCACATTTACCACAGACCCTAAACAAGACCTAGAGCATTGTATTTTCTGACCAAAAATAGCATGGGATTATGACAGAGGTCTTGGATTTCAGTCTTGGTTCAGCTACTCAAAGAGTGGATAAGCTACATAACTTGTCTGAGACTTGGTTTCTTTGCCTCGTTTTAAAAGAAATCCAAAGACTTTGCTGTATGAGACTTTGTCTCCTAGGAATGTTAGAAGCTACACACATAATCCCCCACCTATGTTGTTCATGCAGGCATTCCCAGTTAAATGCAGTGGGACACACACACACACACACACACACACACACACACACACACCATACCACAAGAGACAACATGAAATTAGGAGATAACTTGTTAAAAATAAAAGCTTCAATGGGAGGGAAATTCAACAAGAGAGGGTTGGGGAGATAAGTTCAAAGTACTTTGTGTGTGTATGTGACATTGTTAAAGAATGAATTTAAACAATGACCCCAAAATTCCTTGTTTGAAGGGATGCTAGGAGTTGGAATAGGGCTCTGGTTATATTAAACTGTGTCCTAAGTACCTAGAGACACCTACATTTTTCAGCTATGAGGATATACCAGGAAGCATCTTGCAAATTGTGAAGCAGTCTAACATTACATTATGGTATGTCTGTGTGATGGAATATTACACGTCTTTGAGAAGGAAGTAGGTACTGAAATATGCTATCACAAAAAGGACCCTGAGAGAGCTTGATGCTGAATGAAGGTAGTCAGACCAAAAATCCGCACTTTATATGATTCTTTTCCTACAAAATGTCTCCTAGAAACAGGAAGCAGATGGTGGCCTTTAGGGGCTAGAGTAAAAAAAATGGAGTACTCATGAGTATATGACTTGCTTTTGGGATGAGGAAACTGTTCTAGAACTAGCTATGGTACAATGTGATTGAATTGGGTATTTTATTTGTGTGTACATGTACAGCTGTATGTGTTTGGATGCATATAGAGGTCAGAGGTCAACCTTGAGTGTTGGTCCTAAGGAGCCAACCATCTTGCTTTGTGAGACTGGCTTTCTACTTGGGACCTAGAGCTCAAGCACACTGATTTGACTAACCTGCTAGCCAATCTTGTTTTACCCTCCTTAGCACTGGGATTACAAATGTGTACCTGTATACTGGGCTTTTTTACACTCATTCTGGATATTGAACTGCTTCTTATACATGCACCAATTCATATTTCACCAACTGAGCTAGTTCCCTAGCCTGTAAATTTTATGTGGTCTGCGCACCATAATACTTTATTTTTTTTTTTAAAGTGAAAACCGAAGCAAATCAGTCACTAAAGTCTTCCATTGTACATGCAGTCTCCAACACACTGGTGGCAGAGGACTAACCCCCCCCAACATCCCCCACTCCCACCCCCGATGTAGGTGCATCTCCAGACTGTTTGTTGGAGAGCTGGGGTGGGGGAGGGGAGAGAATAAGTAACTAGGGCCATCTGAAAAGCTTCCTTCTGGGTGATATTTGTTTCATAGATTGCCAGTTGTTCACCCTGTTTGTATTTAAATGAAAGGAGGCTTTGAAGTGGGAGCTGCCTCTGAGCAAGGCTTGGGGTTCCTGCCTCCTCTGGTAAAGTTCAGACTTGTCCAGATCCGCCTGTAGCCAGAGGTTACTGTTTCTGGTAGAAAAGGCTCAAGTTTTGGTTAATAGCATGCTAAGAGGAAGAGCATCAGTGGCTTGAGGGGTGCAAAATGAGTTTCTCTTGCTGTGCGAGGCAGTGTTCCAATGGCCCCCTTTATAGTTTAGGAGAATCCCTTTTTCTTTTGTCACTGACTTTTATCTCATTTTATTTTGAAAGAAGGTCTTGTGTAGCCCAGGCTACCTGCAAACTCCTTATGTCCCTGAGGCTGTCCTTGAATTCTTAATCTTCCACCCTACCTCTTCTGGGAATATACACCATATACTCGGTGCAAAGTTTCATTTTACTATTACTGTTGGCTGCATCTCGATAGGATTCCCCTTGGTGAAGAATAACTTTAAGTATTCATCAATGAAAGTTAAGTGCAAGCAGTGCCTCAGGGACCTCAGGGTTATCATTTAAGGACTACCTGGAGTTTCAAAAGTTCCTTGAAAATGCAAGGAAATTCAATGGAGCTGAGTTTGCATAATTTAAATGTGTTACCAGATCTCAGAAATTGAAAGTCCCAATTGAGTATGGTGGCACATGCCTCTCATCTCAGCAGAGACAGGTGAATATCTGTGAGCTCGAGGCCAGCCTAGTCTACAGAACCAGTTCCAGGACAGCTAGGGCTACATGGAGAAACTCTGTCACACACACACCCACACCCACCCACCCACCACCCACACCCACACACACACAACACACACACACACACACACACACACACACACACACACACGCAAAGAAATTGCAAGACTCAGTTACAGATAGGTCCCCGTGTGTTTGTTTATGCACTCATCTATGAGTTAATATAATGAAGAGGGGTCTGCAGCAGACATTCAAAGCAGCTTCAGTGGTTTCTATGACTCCCTACAGCCAATCATGTCAACTAGATTTACAAACAACAGTGCAGGAAGTCTCAACGAACCCTCTGAGGGTGATAATTGCAACGATGGTTCATATCTTCCCCCTATGTAATTTTATGGGAATTGACAGTCTAGCCAAATAATAAGCTCCAGCCCTTTTCATCTGCCCAGTTCCCAGCACACTCGTGAGGTGTCTGAGGCACTTCTCACCCTCACCTCTTAAAGCAGACTGTAACAATAACAACAGTAATGACAAGTTCACAATCTGCACGGTTCCCTTCATTAAAAGAGCCCGGGGAGCTTCAAAAACACTCATTAATGGAATCTGACAAAGCTTGGAAGGTGGGAAGACCCATCCATTCCCAGTTTTCTTGGGACTAAATGTAGATTGGGAAGGATTAGAGATCCTGGCTATCATCTGTGACCACCACGCCCCCCCCCCAGATGGGTTTGAACCCATTGCCCTTAGGTGGGTGCAAATTATCAGCTTTTCCTTTCCGTGCAGCCTCGGTGCTAATACTTACACGGGGCAGTGTGGAGCCAAAAGTTCTCCCAAGCAACCCGGATTAGCACCATCTACTCAAGGTTCAAAGATTTTTTTCTGGCCAGTTTCAGAGTTTGTTTATATTTATTGCAAAGCCTAGGGCATGAGTGGGAATAGAACATTGTGTAGGGATGAGAAAATGATTGCCAGAGGTAGGGACAAGCCTGTGCTCAGGAGTGAACACTGTGATGGGAAGTTGGTCCAGAGAGTCCAGGTGAGCCTCTCAGCCCAAGTGCCTCCGCTGTTTGGAGCGAAACAATGCCAGTAACGTGAGTGGGTGCTTTCCTCGCCCAGGCGCTGGTTAGCAGGGTGGCAGCAGTGAGGCAGGTATTGGAGCTGTAGGACTCAGGGCTGCTTTGGCCAGCAGGCACAGCCTGTCAGGTGGCTGTAGGGGAAAGGCTTGTGTTTCAGAAGAGCTGAAGGCTCCAAGACCCAGGCCACCAGGATCCCTGGGACTTGGGCCCTTAAGCGGGAAGAAACTGGCCTTTCCTCTCCCGGCGGGGGACGGAGGGGCAGCTTCCCCGCCTCTTGAGGAGGAGGGCGAGGGAGGAGTCCAGCAGGGCGTGTCGAGAGAGGGAGCGCGGCGCGCCCCGTGCGGGCCCCCTAGGAAGTGGATTTGGCCCGCTCCGGATCCAACCCAGCTTCCAGGTTTTCTCCTGGCCCGGCCCTGCGTGCTCCCGCCTGTCTAGGGCTCCCCCCCCTCCTCGTGCCCGCCCCCTCCCTCCCTAGGGCCGCCCCGCTTGGCCAAGTTTGCAGAGGCTCGCTGCGCGAGCCGGGCCAGTCAATCAGCCGCCGAGCTGAGAAGGGCACAACCGTGCGGCCGAGGGCAGTGAGCTGAGCCGAGCTGGGTGAGCGGAGCAGCGCCGGGTAGCCGGAGCCCCGCGCCAGCGATCACCCGCCGACGCCGCCCACACTCTGCTCTCCTGCGACGCCTGCCACCTTCCCTTCCTTCCCTGAGCCCCTCTACCCCTAGCCATCCGGCCCGGGATCGCTAGCCTTCGGAGCCCCGAGGTCACCGATCCTCGCCCTAGTTCCCTTGGGTCCCGTGCCCATTCCACGCCTTTTTTCCGTGTACCCCACCCCGGCCGGGCGCCTGGCATCGCGGACCGTTGCCTGACGCGAGGCCCAGCTCCACTTTTCGCCCGCGTCTCCTCCTCTTGCCCTCCTCCTCCTTTGCTACCAACTCCAACTCCTCGGGTCTCGCTCCACTCGGGAGTCCTTTGACTCTGCGCCTCTCCTCCCGCTCCGCAGCACCGCTTCCCATCCGGTCTCATTCTGTCCCCCAAAGGTGGGAGCGCGTCCGCCCGGGTCCGCACCATGGCACGGTTAGGCTTACTCGCGCTTCTCTGCACCCTGGCCGCGCTCAGTGCCTCGCTGCTGGCTGCGGAGCTCAAGTCGAAAAGTTGCTCGGAAGTGAGACGTCTCTACGTGTCCAAAGGCTTCAACAAGAACGATGCCCCCCTCTATGAGATCAACGGTAGGTGGGAATCCTCCCCCGCCCATTACCGAGCGGTGAGCGCCCCGGGAAAGGGGCGGCCCCCCATGCCGCACCAGGTAGCCAGCCGAGAGGGAGAAACTGGCGGGCGAGAGCCAGCTTCGGCGGGGAGCGGGCACCGCGAGTGGAGGAGATCCTCCGGATTGTCCAGTCCACTCCGGTGCTCTGTTTCCCCCTTCCCAGTCTTCTCGGTCCCGGGAAGACACTAAGGACTCTGACCCTCAAAGTGCGTGGCATGGGCTCTCTTGCCTTTTCCGGGTTGAATTCCTTACTGGGCTCCCCGCTTTGTTGTGTGGGTGACAACGAGGCCGAGTGGGGGCGGGGTGGGGAACCTCTTGGAGTTTGCCGACTCCTTGGGGCGCAAAACGTGTGACTTGAATGAGTGGTCCATTGATGGTCTCCTAAAACCCCTTTCCCTGTCTCTCCCACTGCTGACATGCTTTAGTTTTTAAGGACCTGCAAAGGGCTTTAGAAGGCACCTTTGAAAAGAGAACGACCCCCTTTTACTCCCCACTCTTCCAAATCCTGACTTTTGGGAAGTCTCCAGCGTTCCGGAAGGTGTTGGATAAGAAGGGCATTTCCCTCCCTTTTCTCTTTTCTCACCTCATTTTAAGGGTTAATTGCACTTTCAATTACAGACCTTTGAAAGGACTGATTACAGGAAACCCGAATCTCAGTTTAGAGATGGTTATGCAAATGAAGATGGTTTTGCCTCTGAAAAAGTTCGCCCGGATTTCAGCACTGGAGTGGGGGGAGGTGCGTGGGGTGCTTGGGAAAGCCCTCCTGGAGCTTTGGGGGAGGGCAGCACCACGGGTACGCTCTCCTCTCCTGGTCGCGAGGTCTCGAGGCCCGCGAGTGGCAGTGCCTGGGCGAGTCCTTCCCTGTCGTACTAGGTTTTCGTAGCTGCCAACTGTTGCGCACAGCCCTGCCGGCTGGCGCCCGAAGCGGCACAGGTAGCTTGTTCACCCTGGGGGCTCAGAAACAGCCACGAATCTAACTGGCTGTTGGCCAGCTTAACCTAACGGAGGAGTTAGAGATTCGAGCCCCGAAGGCTAAACCTCCATTTCGAACCTTTCATGGAAGTGTGCAGAGTGCCCCTTTGCCTCACTGTACTGGTTGCCCGGGTGGGACAGGCAGGGGGCCAGCAGCCAGCAAAGGAAATACTGTAATTTTAACCAGGCTCTTCCAAAGGCTTAGGGAGACTTGGGGGTCATCTTTTGGAATGGCTATAAATAACCTTGGAGATTAAGTGCAGTCATCAATTACATCTAAATTACAAAAGTAATTGAGGGAAGTTGCTGGGCACTGTGAGTGTGTAACCGGCCTCTGTCTAGAAATAGAACTGAAGAAATTGTTGGTAGTAGCCCAGGCGTCCACTGCACCTTGGCAGTTGACAAGTAACTCACACGCTACTGATGAAAGGCCGTTTGCCCTTCAGCCGCCTGTCTTTTTGGGAGCTCAAGTATGTCCTCCCAGCCTCATGATTTTATTGGTTGTAGCGCTCTGAAAAGCCCCCTTTCTTTTCCCTCTTCCTCCTGCCCTGCCAGTAACAGAGCACTGAGCCAGCAGTCACTGAAGCTTGGGGGCTCTGCAGGTCAGACCTGGGGCCTTTGTGCCTTGCCCAGTTTGGGCCTGGGTGCTTCAGAGATGATTGGCGTGAAGGTTACAGTTGTCATTCCCACATTCTGAAGGGAGGCATGCAGCTATGCACTTACTGGGAAAGTGACAAGTTTCCATCTGGCCACGCAGACAATATGTGCCTTGGAGATGGACAAGAGACATTTCGGGAGTATACACAGAAATCGCCCTCCCCAGTTTCTTCAGGTTTGTTGTGTACAGTCTCTAGAGATGTCAGGCTATCTCCCCCAGCCAGCCTCTAATGGAAAAGGAAGGCAGAAAGGTGTTGAAGGACACTAGGTGCACCCTTGGATTGTCATCAGCCCTGGAAAACACTTGAGGTACATTTTTGCATAAATGCCTATCTGGACAACCACCCCTCAAAAAAGATGGGGGAGTTATTAGTGACCAGCAGCAGGAAATGGAAGCTAATATGCTCACACCCAAAACATTTTATTCTTTTTGTCTTGTCCTTCATCTCCCTCCCAGGGCTGCTGCTTTTATTTCCCCTTTTGAATGACCTACTGGACTGCATTCTCCTGAGGAACAAAGGAAGGGCCTTTTTAGCTGGAATCCTTGGAAGACCACCAAGGACTTTAGCTCATGCAGTGCAATTTCGCACCACTTTCAACAATAACAAAAATGCATGACTGAATGGCTCAAAAATGTGGAGTGTTAGAGGCATTCATTTGAGTCTAGGACACTGTCACAACACAGACAGACCCAAGCAAATACCTTTAGACGGCCGGTATAGAAATGGGGTAATCTTTACCATCGCCCTGTCCTCTGCAGTTGCACACATTAGCAACTACCCTCACACTACCCTCAGAAAGTTTTGGCCATTTCAGGAGGCAGTTGTGGGGAAGTCAATGTAATGACTTGGGTTCAGCCTACATCCAAATGAATTAGATGCCAGGTGGCTTAATTGGGAGAATATCTCCTTTCTTCAAAACCGGAGATGATTTTGTAGGCAAAGTGTTGGCGTGTCTAGGTCACTACTTCATTGACCCCCCCCAGGCTAATTCAAGTTTAAAGTTTTATTTGAAAAGAATGGTGAAGCTTGAATCTAGGGTTTTGTATGTGCTAGGCAAGTGTTCTACACTGAGATATCAGATCCGCCTCTTTGAAGTTCTTGATGGCCTTGTACTTGGCCTTCTAGAGGTCTGAACAGACTTTGATGTCCTGAAGGACTCTCACTTATAGATCATAGTTGGGAATATGTGATCTTGATGTGTCCTCAGGGGTGTCAGAGAATAAAAGTATATCATACTGCCAGGGGTTTCAAGTGAGGTTTTGCATTGTCCATATGCTTGACTCCAATAATTTTCATATAATGGCCAGTCCAGATGCTATGATAAAAAAAGCATCTGTAATAGCTTTCATTGGCCATATTTTTTGGAGTGCCTGCTATGTAAAGTATTCTGTGTTTGGCATCACAGAGGCAACAAGAATGAAGGAAAAGTCAGCGCCCCCCCCAAAAAAAAATCCCACCTTACTTTGTAGTAGGGAGATAAGCTATTCACACATAATTCCAATGCACTGAGAAGTATGATAAGTACCATGTAAATGAGATGAGAAATGTGGGCTTAGAATATCTCAGTGGTAAAGCATGGACTTAGCATGTACCAGGCCCTGTGTTCAACCCTCAGCACTAAAATAGAAACACACACATGCACGCACGCATACACACACACACAAAAGAAGGGATTGGGACTAGAGTATTAAATAGGTAATGATAGTTAATGTTAGTATAAAATAATATGCTATCTAAAATCCCATTTTGATTAGGATATGCAACAACTAGCATTTTATTAATAGCCTGCTAGAATTCTTTGAAAAGAGTGGCATTTGGTTAGAAATAGTATTGGACTTGTAAAAGGTCCCTTTTTTCAGTGACGAAGAACTTTGTTTCCTGCTCCTTGATCTTGAACAAAGCACCTGTGAGCATGTACCTACATTTGAAAATGTTTGCATGAGTATCTTAGGGTCTCAGAGGATTCTGGGAATTACTCATGCTATGTTGGGACACAGTGGGGAGGAAAGGAGAGAGATAGTGAGATTTGATTGTAAATTAGACAAGATGCCTTTTCAAGATTTGTGTTTTCCATCTTCTTGCTGGGTTGAATTTTTGTTGTTGCTTGAAACAGGGTCTCACATTGTAGCTGTGGCTGTTTAGGAACTTGGTATGTGGACCAGGCTACCTCTGCCTCCCAAGTGCTGGGGTTAGAGGCGTGCCCTACCTTACCTGGCTTGGATTTGATTTTCTTATGGAATTTGTGATGTCTTAATTTATTGGCGTCATCAGTTTATCAATTTTGCTCCTTGTGTTTCATGTGAGAGGGTCTTAGTGAGCCCCAGGGCCTGTCTCAGTATTAAAGCAACTGTCTTCATGGTGTGGGGGAAAAAAATCAAACAAAACGAAACAACAACAACAACAAAAACCCCCAAAAACCAAAAAAAAAAAAAAAACTTAGTAGCAGTTTTGGCTTATGCAGTTGAATCTCTTTTAGAATGTATAAATATAAAATATTTGATTTAGCATAATTACTATTTTCATTTCTTTTTTTATTTGATTCACATCAGGTTGCATGCAATTTGAGGATTAGCTGGAGACTAGATTGAGGGAAGGAAAAAAGGAGTTTTCTCTTTCCTAAACATCAGTGTTAATCAGAGTCAGTTCCAAGTGTCTTTCTCTGTTTTATGTAATAAAAGGTTTGTTCATTAGATATGTTCCCAAAGACACATTTTGGCCTTAAATAGCTATTGTGTACTTTCTCTTGCCTCAGCCTCCTGCTAAGGACTTTGTCTCATTTAAAGACCACAACTATTATATGCAGCCAGAATTATCACCTCTAATTTACTCATAGAAACTGAGATGGGAAGGGCTTAAGAAATGCATTCATGAGAGCACTGGTTGCTTCTGCAGAGGACCTGGGTTCCATTCCAAGCACCCACATCTGCAACTCTAGTCCCAGGGGATCTGATGCCCTCTTCTGGCCTCCGAGGCATCATGCATGCACATAGAACAGAGACATGCAGGCAAAACACATAGAGGTAAATAAGACCATTAAAATAATAAAAAAAAAAAATTCAGAGTTCTACATATAGTGAGTGGCAGAGGTAGGAATGGAACCCAGTTCTACAGATTAATATATGCACTACTTTGTGCAGATAATAGGATAGGAATGCACATTCTCTAGTCCCCTGGGGGTTTTAGATATGTAAGATAGGCAGCCTTGCCTTCACACTGCGGTAGAGAAGATCTAGTCACATCTTAAACAGGCAAAATGCCAAACTCAGATATAGATAGTGTAGGGTGCATAGAAGAAGGGGTAAACATTTTCTGGACCATGGGGAGCAGTGAG